CCTTTCCAGTGACTTAATACATCCCTAAGTTGGGGGAAAAATATATAAAATAAATATGTACCCTGCGTACTTGAATCAACAAGTGTACTAAATGAGTGAAATAAATGCAAATATAACAATGAAAACATCAAACTATAAATACAGTGCAATTGTAAACAAATGATTTAAAGTCCCAATCAATGCTCAACAATATAAAAGTTCCAAATGTGAAATAATACCCCCATCCGCATTCAGTGTAAAACTAGGTGATACAGTGATTAATCTTGGAAGACTGTGGGCCTTGCCTTGACATAATGATCAGCAGCAGCCTAAGAAGGATTTGATTTTTACTAAACCTCATGTGGTGAGATAGAAGGCATCAAAAGGAGTAGTTTGGACAGTCTGGAGGTGTTTTCACATATGGAGTCCGTAACCAGCAGATAGAGGCATCAAGATCATACAGACAGCGAACTAGCTGCAGGAGAGTGCTGCAACACCTAATGCGCCATTTGACCTACCATTGCAGGTGGTCAAAATTTGTGGTGAGTGGGGCTCTGGAGGGGGAGCACTCAACACAAAGAATTTTATGGATAAGCAGATTAATCACTGTATCACCTAGTTTTACACTGAATGCGGATATTTTTTCACATTGGAACTTTTATATAGAGGCACATGTATGTTTGTTGGTCACCAACACTTATGTAGGGTGGCATATTTACTTATAGGAGGCAGCGCAGCAATTATGTGTTTATATTCAAACTATAGTTATATAATGGATATGGGATGAAAGTGCATGCTCTCAGGGTTAATTTGAGGGTATGTACATCCAAATTGGAGGAAGGGTTTAGGAATTACAGCTCTTAAGAGTAGCCATCCCCCCTTTTTCAAGGGACCAAAAGTAATTGGACAACTGAATCATAAGCGGTTTCATGGCCAGGTGTGGGCTACTCCTTTGTTATTTCTTCATCAATTAAGCAGGTAAAAGGTCTGGAGTTGGTCTGGAGTTGATTCTAAGTGTGGTATTTGCATTTGGAATCTATTACTGTGAACTTACATCATGTGTTCAAAGGAGTGTCCATGCAAATGAAACAGGCGTAAAGTTTCAAAAACAAAAGAAATCCATTAGAGAGATAGCAGCAACATTAGGAGTGGCCAAATCAACAGTTTGGTACATTCTGAGGATGGAAGAATGCACTAGTGAGCTCAGCAAAATAAAAAGGCATGGATGATTGCAGGATCAGAACATCCAGACAAGTGAAGGACACTCTCCAGGAGGCAGGTGTATCATTGTCAAAGTCTGCAATCAAGAGAAGACTTCACAAGAGAAAATACAGAGGGTTCACCACAAGGTGCAAGCCATTTGCCAAAAACATCTAAAAAAAAAGCCAGGCCAGTTCTGGAAAAGCAATCTTTGGACGGATGAAACTAAGATTAATCTGTACCAGAATGACAGGAAAAAAAAAAAAAGTGTGAAGAAGGCTTGGAACAGCTCATGATCCAAAGCACACAACGTCATCTGTAAAACATGGTGGAAGCGGTGTGATGGCATGGGCATGCATGTCTTCCAGTGGCCCTGGGTCATTGAGGTTTATTGATGATGTGACAGAAGACAGAAGCAGCTGGATTAATTCTGCAGCATTTAGAGATATACTGTCAGCCCAGATTCAGCCAAATGCAGCAAAGTTATTTTGGACAGCGCTTCACAGTACAGATGGACAATGATCCAAAAACAAAAGCAACCCAGGATATTTTGAAGGAAAAGAAGTGGAATATTCTGCAATGGCTGAGTCAATCACCTGATCTCAACCCAATTGAGCATGCATTTCACTAGCTGAAGGCAAAACTAAAAGCAGAAAGACACACAAAGAACAACTGAAGTCAGCTGCAGTTAGAGCCTGGCAAAGTATCAGAATGGAGGAAACCCAGTCTTTGGTAATGTCCATGGGTTCCAGACTTCAGGCAGTCATTGCCAGTAAAGGATTCTCAACAAAATATTACAAATGAAAATTTTATTTATGATTATATTCATTTGTCCAATTACATTTGAGCCCCTGAAAATGGAGGGACTGTGTATAAAAATGGTTGCAGTTCCTAAAACGTGTACTTGATATTTACGTTCAACTACTTCAATTAAAGCTGAAAGTCTGCACTTCAAATTCATTTGGATTGTTTGTTTTAATTTATTCTGGTGGCATACAGAGCCAAAAGTATGAAAATTGTGACTGTGTCCAAATATATATATATAACTGCATATCTCTGGTGCCCAACCTGCAGCCCTTTGGTAAGTGATGTGTGGTCCTTGGACCTTAGCAGTTTGTAGTGGGAAAATTGATTATGGCAAGTATATCCCCAGCCAGAAATGTAGCTCTGGCCCTCATGTCCCGTTTCAGGTCTGCAGTTTCTGACAGTCCTCTCAAGTACATATATTACATATATTGAACATTATGTGCGACCGTTAGGCGATGTCAGATGTCCCTTTAGCTGATAAGTTGGCAACCGCTGCTATATATTTTCACAGTATCATTTACTGGAAGTAAAGGCCAGATTTACCATTAGACAGCAAAGACAAAGAGGCAGTTTTTTCCTGTATAGTTGTCAGCCACCTATTATTCTATTATCATCAGTAGAAATACAGGTATGGGCATCTAATAACTACAATATTTAAAACCAGATTAGCAGCAGTAAAACAAGAAGCTGTTCTGTGTAAAATAAGACAATCCTAGCACACAGGTGTTGCTTATGATGGCAGATGTTGTGTGCCTACAGGACTCCAGTGATAGAAATCTGGCCATGCTGGTAGCAGTCCTGATGTGAAACCAGTGGTAAATTGCAGGCAGAACTTTCTAGATACATTATCAGCAGAAAAGAAGAATTTAGGATACACACCTAGTTTTTGTCTGGGACTAGAGGCAGTAGTAGGAGAAACAACAGCAGGTGAAGCTAAGACATCACCCTTCTGAACCTGTCCCTTAGGAGAAGTGCCATTTTCCACCATTTTTGATGTGCTCGGGATTGCAGTGTCTAGCAATGAACTCTGTTCTTCAAGGGATAATCTGGGTCCTTCCTCTGTTTTAGCACAAGTAATCTCTATCTGTGATGAAGCAGAAGGCCCTTCATCTGCTGGTGCAGAAATGGGTCCCTGAGTCTTTTGACAAGTGGCGTCATGGCTCTCAGTCGTTGAGGAGGAGCTGGCAGTTACTTGCTCTGTCTTTGTGCTTAGGTGATCAGTTTCTGATCGAATGTCTGCGCTCTTTGTTGCTTGCTGTGTGTCATTTTCTATTTTTGTAACTTCATCACCTAGAAGAAAAAAAATATCTAGTTAACACAAGGAAGATGGCCTGCTGAATAAAAACAAAAATCTAGAAAAAAAAAAATAAAAAAAAAAAAAAAAAAAAAAAAAGAGGGTGGGGACTATAAAATACTGATATATAGCCAAAAAATCAAAGCAGCAACCGTTCATAAGAATTTACCATTAGAAAATGAGCTTTTTAGGCAATTGTCTGGTATATATCCACATATTTTTTTAAGGGCTCATTCACATGGGTGCAAAAGGTGCATACAGCATGCAAGAGTTGTTGGTTTATGCTTTCCAAGCAGCATGGAGCTGTAAGCAGGCATCCTGTGATAATGGAGATGCAACAGCTGTACAAAATCACCCGGACATCCAAATTTGACAGGCTGCAGGGAAGGGTGTGCAGACAGAGCATTTGGGTCTGTGCACCCAGGTCAACAGGCCCTAAAGCTGATATCCATGTTAACAATGTGTTGTCTTAATAGAAGAGCCATGTGTGTTTTTACTTTTATTTTATCTAGATCTATGCAGTAATCCAGCATGAGACAAGTCCTGCACTTCAATTTTGTGTGAGAGTTTCCTGTAAAAAAGGCCAGTTACTGTTGCTCATTCTCCTTATGCAGAGTGTCTGGTCTTCTATCCACCCTCTCCCCCTACTACTACATCAGGCATCACTAAATGGCAGACCACGGTTCAGATCCAGACCAAGTCAGTGTCTCATCTGGATCGCTGTGGTCCTGCCATTTAGGAGTCGATCTGCCCACAGCCCAAGTTAACCACCAGGTGATCATTTGCTAGAATGCAGAGTGGTCCTAGCAACCAATCACCAGCTTGCAGCTCCCACCCTCTGCCTGGACCTGCTGGCCTCCTACCCTCCTCCCTGTCTAAGGTAAGAAAAGGGGGGGGGGCAATGCGGGGGCTGAGGACACTAATCGAGGGCCTGAGGACAATAATATGGGGGGGGGGGGGGTTGAGGATAGTAATGTGAAGGGAGGATTTTGATGTTAAGGGGAGTGACTGTGATGTGAAGGGGGATAGAGGATGCTAATGTAAGAACGGAATTTTGAGGTGAGGCTCGATTCAAATCCGTGCATGCACATTTGCGCACACACATCACAGGTAGGACAGCCCATTCGTTTTAATGGGCTGTCCTACCCATGAAAAAAAGCAGGGAAAGAAGACCCTTTTATAAGGAAATGACGGGCGCAAGGCAGTTCTCTTGTTCTGGGAGGACGTCCTTTATTTATTATATTTCAGGTACTTCTATAGCGCCGTCAATTTACGCAGCGCTTTACATACACATACATACATATATATATATATATACACACACACACACACACACACACATACACATATACATATTACATTCACATCAGTCCCTAACCCTCAAGGGGCGTACAATCTAAAGTCCCTAACTCACATACATACACATACTAGGAACAATTTTAGACAGGATCCAATTCACCTACCAGCATGTCTTTGGAGTGTGGGAGGAAACCGGATTACCCGGAGGAAACCCACGCAGGCACGGGGGGGAGAACATGCAAACTCCAGGCAGGTGGTGCCGTGGTTGGGATTCGAACCAACGACCCTAGTACTGCCAGGCGGAAGTGCTACCCATTTTAGCCACTGTGCTGCCGAGACGTATGACATCCTACCACTCTAACCGCGTGTGCGTGGCTCTGGGAGTGCGCAGTGTTCGGTGGTGCGCTGTGTCCCTCAGACACAGTGGATCACCGATCAACGGAAACAGCCAAAGATGTCGGCTCGGTCATGTGATCAGCTGTGTCCAATCACAGCTGATCGCATGTAAATAGGGAAATGCCTGTTAACGGCATTTCTCTCCTCACGAGCGGTCACTCTGACAGCTCGAGGGGAGAGGACAGCCGGTAATTGGCATCCCTCACAGGGGACATGTACACTGATCATCAGGGCACTGATGATCAGTGTGCCCTGATGATCAGTGTAGCCCCAGCAGTGCCACCTGTCAGTGCTCATCAATGCCACCTGCCAGTGCCCATCAGTGCCACAGTAATGCCACATATCAGTACCTACCAGTGCACATCAATGCCACATATCAGTGCCCATCTGAGCTGCCTTTCAGTGTCACCTATCAGTGCTAGTCAGTGCCACCTAACAGTCCCAGTCAGTGCCATATATGAGTGCTGCCTTTCAGTGCCACCTACTAGTGCCTCCTCATCACTGCAGCCTCATTAGCGCACATCAGTGAAGGAAAAAATCACTTATTTACCAAATTTTTGAACAAAAACTAAGAAAAAAACAGTTTTTTCAAAATTTCAGTTGTTTTTGGTTTGTTTAGCAAAAAAATAAAAAACCCAGAGGTGATTAAATACCATCAATAGAAAGCCCTGTCTCAAAAAAAATTATAAAAATTTCATATGGGTACAGTGTTGCATGATCGCATAATTGTCAAAGTGCGACAGCACTGAAAGCTGAAAACTGGCCTGGGCAGGAAGGAGGTATAATGTGTCCTGTAGGCAAGTGGTTAAATCACAGTGCTCCAAACTGCATGGCACTGAAGCTGGTTTGCAGTGTGCAAAAATGTGCTGCAGGTGCTAATGTGTGGAGGGTACCATTAAGAATTAATGGCACCCCTGCACATCTGCTAAAGTGCAGCACATTTCTCCGCAGGTTGGGAATGCATGCAATTTCACACATATTCTCCAGCCACAGAGATGTGATCTGAGACTAAGAAGAGAGGGGTGGGACATGCGATTTTAACCTCTGCTTGAAGAATATTTTTCTGACTGAACCTCTGAATTTTAACTCAGTATCTTTGTAATATACTACTACTGTTCTCCCTGGGGCTGCTTATCTTCTACACTCATCTAAACACAGTGCTGCTGGTCTTTTAGGTTCAAAAGCAGAGAAAAATGTGGAGGCACACTCCAAGACTAAGATTACTAAGCATCTGCATCAGCGTTATATATACCATGTCCATTAGTAATGACTATTTTTACTGATCAGAATTAAAGTAAATGCTATAATCACATAGAAATCTCACACTACAAATCTGGAGCAGAGGAATACAATGCTGCTGACTGCAGAAACAAGTCATAGAAAAAACATTTTATCTTTTTTTTTTATAAAAAGTGCTGGCTGGTCCAATCTAGTCGGGCTTGGGTGGCTTTATCTGTACTAAAATTAATGAAAGAAGGAATTCAACAGTAATCTTCTGTTCTATGTGCAAGCTGTACTGGGGATATAAGTAGTCTTTGGGGAACTGTACTTATAAAAATACCTGTTGCTTATATTAATCTAAAGGCTTCAGTACATTTCAGATTCGCCAGTAAACTTTCTACTGAATTTTCTATATAGTGCATTTGTATAACTTCACAGGTAATATATTCCCCAGGACACCATCTTATTTCAAATATTGTTTTAACTCAAAACCATTAGGCTGGTAATGACAGATCAAGAAATAGTGGATTCCCTTAAAAAATACAAATATCAAAACCAATTGATAGTGAGTGCAGATAACACTGATATATGTTCAAATCGGTGCAGATTGCTGCCTGACGGTGACATACAGCACAGCTGCGAGGAGAAGCCTGCCTGAAGATGATATGCAATGGGCAGCAAAGAGAAATGGCAGGAACCAAGGGATACTTTTTTTGTATGCATTTTATCATGGGACATCATATGTCAGAAATCACATTAACAAACATTGGTGATGAATGGAGTATAATCAATGTTCTAGCTTTTGCAGCTCTGCTGTAAATTCCCCTAGATACCACTTCAATTATTTCCGCCATTGTGCTTTTTACCATAAGTGGATCGAAATTACCATTAAATGTTCCCCATCCAGAAACATGGAGCCATTGTAGCTATAGAAATGTCCTTCAAACTAATTTACAGATGCAACCCCAACTCTGTCCCTAAACATGGTCTACCCAATTCCTCTGGTGAGCAGGGCAGAATCCCAAGAGCATTTTCTTTACCAATTCAGAGGTGAAGCATGGCCAGCAAAAGCCTTTGGTATGCCACTGTCTTAATGAAGTTGTAGTACGATCATCTTTTATTAGTATATACCTAATAAGAAAAATGTATTAATTCCTTATTTAAATTTTATATGGCGTAAGAATGATCACCCATAATTCTCCTCCCACCAATAAAAGACATCCCACTGACTGCTGCTCAAGGAAAGGCTGGCAGCCTGTGCCCTGAGACAGAATAACTGCTAAGGGGCTTTTTGGAATCTTCAACTTCATACAGCTGGAGCAGATCAATTCATTTGACAGATGAGAGATATGCCGCAAACAATCACTAGATCTAATATTGGTTAAACCCCAGTTCACCAGAGGGTTCACTCAGTGGGTACTGGCACTGCCCAAGGGCCCGGGGTCAAAAGGGGGCCCCATGAGATGCCCCTGGTACCTTTTATAGGCTTTTTTGAGTGTGGTTTAAGTGTGGGCAAGGACACAGGGGCCCCATGGTCCCCTATTGCCCGGGGGCCCCATGAGTTGTCAGTCTGCCCCTGCTGGCATTAAGTCATTTCAATAAGTAATGACACTTGGATGTTAGGGTATTGTACCCAGGATCTCTAGTTGGATACAGAACAGGAAACTTTACAGTAAACTTATACATTATGCATAATACATTTTCATGAGTCACATCCTATCAAGAATGAATGAGCAACCCACAGGCTATTTTTAATTCCTATCAGAGCAAATGTGTTAGAACCTAAACCCTTAATGCATTGCAAGAGCAAAATGGGCAACAAGCCGGGTTGTTATTATTCCTCATGAGAAGAAAATAGGTGTTGGTGACTATATAATTGAAAGAGTTCCAAGTCAAATGAATGCACTTCCAGACACAAAAAGTGAATTTATATAAATAGAATACAACATATTCAAACTTAGCATTGCCTCATGCACAATACAATTAATGTTTTTGTACTCAGCTCAGTAATATTTACTTTATGCAGGTTGCGGTGGATGCATTTTGCAGTGTTTTCTTTTTTTTTTAAATAGAAAAGTATGGCAGTTCTGTTCATGTAGTGCAACTTTGATGCGACTTTAGACTTTATGGCACTCAAGTAGCATCAAATTTGCATCAAAGTAGTGCAGGAACCTTTATGTGACCAAAGTCACATTTTAGGGTTAGGATTAAAGGGTATGTCGTTATCATTAGGGCTAGGGTTAGCGGTGATTGTTAGGGTTGAAACTATCTCTAACCCTAACCTCTAGCCCTAACATGTGACTGACAAAAGCTTCTACACTACTTTGATGCGGTTTTGATGCTACTTTGATGCAACGTTACACTTTCTGGCACTCAAGTAGTAACAAAAGTCGCACTACATGAACAGAACTGTCATACTTTTCTACTAGCAAAAAAAAAAAAAAAAAAATGCAAAACATGGAAAAAAATGCAACAAAAACTCAACATTTGTGTTTTTGGTGCGGGTCCACTGAAGAATATTACACGCAAAATTCAATTTGCTACAAGAAAAAAAGTCCCTTTCCAAAAAACGCACTGGCTCAAAACTCACAAATATGAACTAGATCCACAGGAAATCGTGTTAAATGGACTGGAAAATGCACTGAAATGTGCAGAAGCGTGAATCTAGGGTAAAGGCATTTTCGGCAGTTACAACCATTTCTAATCCTCTTTAAATTGCATGAAAAACCAACAGCATCAAGGCAGCCTACTGGAAAAAAATTTACATTATTTTAACATGTCAACTGAAGCTATTGGTGGTTGTTGGCAATTACCTGTTTAGGTCATTTTGACATTTTCCAATGATTGAAAAGTGGTTGAATTTACAAGAAAATTGCTGTGTGCAGCCAAGCATTACAGTTTTGTAAACACAAGGTTTGACAAGTTACAGGTATTAGCAATGATCTATGGGATCTATAGTGGTCACTTATTTTAGCCTTCACCACACCAGACATACAGCAGATAGGGCTCTGCTAAGTGCACATTATCTTGCTTGCTAACTCACATATTGGCTCTGAATGTTTAACGTGTGCTGAATGATGCTCAAGGATCGATGGAAGAAACACAGCTGTGGTTGTGTTTCTTTGAAAGTGTAAAGGTAGCGTGACAATTCTTATTCCCTTCTGAATGGATCCCTCCCCCACAGCTCTACAACAAGGCCCCTCGGCTGGGGGAAGTGACAGTGATGATTCCAGCTGCCCTGTGTGCATTCTCTCCACAGCTGCCCTCTCCAGGACTGTCAGTAATGCTGCACCTGTCATTTCAGTGCTCCACACCCCCCCCCCCCCCCCCCCCCCCCCCCCCCCCCCCCCCCCCCCCCCGGTCTCAGCCACCGCCCTGACTACTCTGCTCTAGACAGCTGACATCTACCATGTACACTCCCCAATTATACCAACATCCAGTCCTCCATTACAAGGGCACATACCCATTTCACATATTAAGGCTGCTTTCACACTGCTCTGTTGCAAAAAAACACATACGTTTCTTATGCGTTTGCGTTGCATTTTTACCCTGGATATGTGACAGGACGAAGCATTTCCCGTGGGTGTGTTGCATTTTTGATGTGTTTTTGTTGCGGTTTCCATTCAGTCATTCATTGCATTCATTTTGGAGAGGTGCAGTTTTTTTTTTACCGCACCAAAATATGCAGAAAGCAGGACTTTTAAAGAATAAGTTCACCTTCAGGAACATGTTACACACCCATTTTTAGGGTGGAACATGTAACATGTTCCCATAGCTGCAGCTGCAACAGCAACCCCCCCCCCCACAAAATATGGGAATAAGTTTCCCTGTACTAGCTGTCAGATTTGAAAACAGTGCGGGCATGCAGGACTGAATCAATGAACCTTAGCGGCTGTCAGCGTGTAGTTTTCAATGAACTACCATGGGCGCTGTGGAGCAATGTGGTAGTTCACTGAAGCTTCCTGTCAGAATATCTGCTTGCCTCAAGTGTCTCTGATAAGGAAGCAAGATGGCAGATAATGTTTTTTCCTTTTATAACCTCGGCCTCAAACCTGGTCATTCTGTGGAAGTGGAGGGCTTCATTCTGGAGGACTGAAAAGTGTTTGCCATAAACTTGGGAATGGATGAGAAGAATTTTGTGCTACACTTTAATCCTCGCTTTGACCATCTTAAAGTCGAGTGCACATTAATCTTTAACTCGAAGATGGACAATGTCTGGAGAGAAGAAGAGCAAAGGGAAAAAAAGTTTCTTCCCCTTCATGGAGGGATCAGACACCAAGGTTTGCTTCGAGTTTGAGCTAAACAAAATCACCATACAATTGCATACCGGAAATCTTTTCTCATTTCCAGTCTGCTTTCCCATAGAGGAGGTCTACTTGCTGGTGGAACACCTCCTCA